TCTAGAGAAGCATTTCGAGTGCATACACCGTATGACCACGTGAGCAGGTTGCTCAGGGTGAGGTCACGGGAGAGGAGGTCAAGGACAAAGCTCACGCGCAATGGGGACGTGGGCACAGGACCCAGGACGCGAGATGGAATGAGAATCGATGCTGATGTCACATAGAGCCCTGCGAGCTGGTGCCTTCTTCACTCAGAGGTGTTCTGCCCCCTTAACCGTGGTATCGCCCTCGCAGTCCCCCCCTTTTCCCCCCGCTGAAGTGGGATGTTCCGAGCAGCCCCCAATGGCAGGTCACATAGGAGGCAGCAGCTGGTGCTGGCCTTAAGGGAAATGCTAGCTTGATGCTGTGAATCTCTGTCCCTCTCAGGGAAAAACGGGGAATTTCCAGTTGCCTGGGAGCGAGGAGAACAGAAGGGCCAAACAGCCTCTACTAAAACGTGAGCAGTGAAGCTCTGACAAGGAAAAAGAGTAATGAAGATATTTCAGTTGCTATTAGAAAGCAGATTCTCTCTCAGTATTTCATCATGGGGTGATGGCTCCACAGATGTGTTTAAAGGAAGACCAATTTTACCCAGATCCCCCAAATACGTGTCTGTTATCTTAGTAAAAGAAAAGCTGAGCGCAGAAGGGCAAAGAGACATATTAATTCATCTTCCCTCCTGCTGTTAGCCTAGCATGGCTGTTACGATTAGCAGTAGTAAGAGTAGTTAGTTATAGGAAGTCTTAGAATAAGCACGCTTCAATGGTTACCTCTGGACGGGTAAAAAAAATCACAAGTTTTTAGCTTTTGTTATTACGGACTTAAGTCTTGAAGTTTCTCTTAAATGAATCACTGTGTTTAAACAAACAACTACTTAGTCCTATTATGAATACAAATGCAAAAATAACGAAAGCACTTCAAAAGCCAATGAGGAAATGAAGTAACATCAGAGGCTGAGCTATTCACTCGGGAGTTCTGACTGAGGTCATGGCTGAGTTTCTAACAATTGGTTGCTTTGTTCATTCGTTGGTTGGTTCGTCCAGCAGTTACTAGCATTTATGGGGAAGCTGCTCTGTGTCAGGCAGGCGCTCATGCAGGCAGCGCAGGCACACACATGAGAAAGGCAGCGTGGGCCCTGGGGATGGCGCTTACTTGCTGTTGGGCATGAGTAAGCAGGTTCAAGGGCATGACATTGAATTTTGCATCCAAGTTCCATCAAGGAGCATTTAAGGAGGGGTCAGTGTCGCTCCCCGCTCTTACCAAACGCCCAGCAGCCCCCGAGTGGCCGGAGTTCCTTTCTGTCCACAGCAGCCCGCCCGGTGGGTTTCACAGGCCCGCCTGGCGTTCCCTAGTCACACTGCAAGTATTTGCCCAACGAAGGAACCGGTCGTCCCAGCTCAGGATGAACCTCTGTGCACCCTGAGCTCCCGGCCTTCTGACTGAAAGCTTTACTTCACCTTCTCGCATCGCCTGCATTCTTTCCTCCCATCATGCCACCTGCTGATCTGAACTGGCCTCCCTTGTTTTGGTGGAACTGAAATGCTAGGTTTTCAGGGGACATAAGACGCTTTTAAGTCAGCCTGGAGAAAGCCCTGGGGAGGTGAAGGAGCGAGTGAGGAGGAATTTCAGCGTAGTCCAGGCCTGTTTATACCATGATGCACACTCCACTTTCCTTTGGGGATTCATTAGTTCCCGCTGTTTCTCAGAACCACTAGAAATTGTGTGGTTCCCCCAGAGTAGCACTCAGTGGGAGCTGATGCAGTGAAACGCTGGTCCAAATGTGGGGTTCATTGGAGGGGGTTTTAGCATCATTAGTTAGCTCCTGACAGAGGAGTGTGAGGAGGAAGAAACCATGGATTTTGAACTGAGTTACGCGAGCAGAATATCCCTAATGAGGGAGCAGGGTTCAGTCGAGTGATAGAACAATACGAACTATTCGTCTTAGCTCAAGCCAATTAGTAGCTGATTTTCCTCTCTCCTTCCCCTGGGGTGTCTTCCCCTTCATTCTGAGCGATGCAAGCATCTGAGCCCCATGCATGCACATCCTTTATTGACCTTCAGAATCACAGGTTCGGAGAAGTTAGAGCTGGGCCCTGGGGACCACCTAGATAAGTAGTTTTTATACTTAAAACAACAGAAATGCTTTCTGACCATGAAAGCAGGTAACAGAAACATTCTAGAAAGTAGACAAAAGTGAGGTTGCTCTTGTGGGAGGTGGTGAGGGACAGTTGGACGCCCTTGCCCCACCTCCGTTAAGTTCCTCTGTCCCTCTGGCGACTCTGAGGGGTCCCTAGAATGACCTCCAGCTCTAGAGGGAACCGTTGGGTAAGTACCCATCCAGCCAACACTCTCATCTACAGAAACCGAGAAACGTGCTCAAAGACGGGTAGTTAGGCCTAATTTTAGAAGCAATGCACTGCATTGCGGAAGAGTTGCCAGGGTCCTCTCTGGTGTTAGTTAGAAGGCGTGACAAGATGCATTTTCTCAGGAAAAAAGATTGACGAGCTTCACATTGCTTATGGGCGCACCCCTTGCAAGCCCAGGACCAGGGAGAGGGTGACAGGTGAGAGGCCCCTTGGATGAAACCCAGTGTGATCTACCAGAGTCCATATCTACACGCAATCTTTACTTACAGGGGTAAGAAGGCAAAATAAGGACCCAAGAGTTGGGTGGGCAAAAATGTAGATTTTTTTTCTTTAAAAAATGGGTGTCAAGGAGAGAAATAATGCAAATAAGGACAGTAGCCCCTTTCAGCGACTTTGTTCTGGAATGAAGTTGACTGCATCACCGCAGGAACAACCGATCCAAGAGAGCAAAGGAAGTTCGTTTTTATCTGTTTGGCAGTCCGGTCCATGTATTAGGAGTCTTACTTTAGGACAGTGATGGCGAACCTGTGACACGCGTGTCAGAGGTGACACGCGAACTCATTTTTTGGTTGATTTTTCTTTATTAAATGGCATTTAAATATATAAAATAAATATCAAAAATATAAGTCTTTGTTTTACTATGGTTGCAAATATCAAAAAATTTCTATATGTGACACGGCACCAGAGTTAAGTTAGGGTTTTTCAAAATGCTGACAGGCCGAGCTCAAAAGGTTCGCCATCACTGCCTTAGGAGCTGATGGACATCTATTCCCAATAAAATACATTGGGAAAGTTAATTTCTCATGACCTCAGAGTGGAACAAAGTGTGTAGTGTGTTTAGACAGGGAAGGTGGTTACTCTATGACTCACTCTGACGCTTCTTTGATTATTGGCCTTTGCTGTGGGATGATTCTGTGTTGGACCCTGTGCCAGGATATCTGAGTACAGTCACTCAGAGAGCGCAGGCAGACAGCTTGGTGGGGGCTGGGTTGAGGTGATGGTGGAGGAACTGAGCAAAAATGAGAGAGAGAACTCATGGACATGGACAATGGTGTGGTGATTGCAGGGTGGGAAGGGGCATGGGACGTGGAAGAGGGCAGAGAAGGGATAAGTGGCGATGGGGGGAAAAAAGACTTTCTGAGCTTGGATTTCTTTAGTGATTGGTTTATGTGAGCAATTTATAAATGCTCATCATTTCCCTCATAAAACTTATTTTATTTGAGATTTTAAAAATAAAACAGTGATGAGAATAAGTTCTTATTTATTTCAGGCACAAAACTGATAACTTATGAAGAAAAATGCTTCTGAACTGTGTTTAATGCAGATCCATTTTCACGCTCACGTTCCTGGTCCCAGCGCCGTCCTGGTGCCTGTGTGTCCCTGGGCAGTGCGCGCACGGGGGTGGGAGAAGGTGACCGGGCCGCACGCGGCAGGCGAAGGGCTTCATAAGCTGCGTGTCTCCCAAAAGGCTGTGCAGTCCAGGTGGGCATGTACATGACGCCATATCCATCTCTTTAAAAACAAAAGCAGTAACGACAACCCGGCTGTTCGGTAGAGGCCCTCGACTTCAAAGTTCATTCATCTCCGCAGTTGACTTTCTTTTCTTCAGACAAACTCTTGATATTCCAAGTATTGGCTGATTATTTTTGTAGCGAGTGTACGACAACAAGCAGATCCCCTAAACTTTCTAACGCCCAAAAGCAGAGGAGAAATTAGATAAATGTTTTCAAAGAGAAGAACAATATCACCAAAGGACCACAGGAGGCAGGCAGACAGAGAGGGAGGGAGGGAAGGAGGGGAAGAGAGGAGGAGGAAGAGAGGGAGGGAGGGAGAGAGAAAGCTTCGCTAAACTTGGACACTTTCAAGATTGGGTTATTTTATCCTGCGTGTTTGACAGTGAGCTATTTGAGGGTGATGGTTTACCTGTGACAAGGGAAATGAATTTCTCAAGCACTAGCATTTCTTTACACAATGCTTTGTCTGAAAGGTTATATCCTTACTTTACGAAGGAAAGTACAGTAGGATGTATGTGTGAAACTAAGCATTTACAACCATTTAAGTTACATCTTATTTATTATACTCTATACTTTTTAAATTTTAAAATCAACACATACTAGTTTCTGTAAAATGGCTCAGGTAAGGGTTTTTGAGATATGGAAAGTCCATCCAAACTCAACGATGTGTTCGATATATAGATTGAGAATGTGTTTGGGAGTGAGTGACACCAAATCTGATGAAAGCTGTCTCTTTTGGTTGCATTGTTTCTGCACACAAAGAATCTGGGTGACCAGGGGTTGCCTTCCAGATTGGTCGTTTGCACATTTAAATGGCACAGACAACTCCCAAGCCTTCCCATCATTCTCTTTTGCACAAATCTTGCCAATAACCGCTCCCGAGTTTATCATGGGAATCTAGATGATATTACAGAAATCTTTTAAAGACTTTTTATATGTGCTTTTCTAGTGCTGGCACAAGGAATTACATTATTGCAAGTTGTGTGTGAAATATAAGTTAAAACACTGAGATATTTCATTACGAAGAACAAAATTTGTTTGGTCGTATCATGAAGGAGTATAGTCAACTCGAGTCCAATTTGTGTGACTAAGGTTGCGTTCAG